AAGGAAATTCTGCTAGCCAGGTATGCCATGACCCCAGAGACTTACAGGAAAAAGTTTCGGGCATTACAGAAAGGGGGCCAAGACTCCTACACCGAATGGGCCTTTAGGATGTTTCCGGCAGCCCAAAACTGGATACAAGGCTGCCAGGCCACGACGCTAGAGGAGGTGCTGCAACTCCTCTTGCTAAAACAATTTTTTGACCATACACCTGCAGACACCAGGGACTGGGTCAGAGATAGGAAGCCGGCCACAGTCGAGGAAGCGGACAAGCTGGCAGATGAGCATCATGAGGGAAGAAAAGGAGAGGCAAGTGGAAACTGTCCTCGGGTAAGGTCCAGCGCTCCAACGCCAGGGCCTGTGACCAACCCCAGACCGAACGCGGTACCACCTACGACACAGCCTAACTTTAACCGGAGACCACCATTGGTATGTCACCAGTGTAATCGTCCAGGGCACTACAAAATACATTGCCCTCAGCGGAGCAGAGGCAATTGGGATCGGCCATCACCACCACCACCGAGGGCAGCCGCTCATCACTATCAACATGAGCCGCTTGAAGACAACAACCTCGATTCTGAACAATGGGCCGTACTACATGAGGTGAACCTAGCCTAAGTCGAGGGGGACAACCGGGTGCACCACAGACAATGGGTCACAGTAGATGGAAAGGAGGCAGAGGCACTATGAGACTCTGGGGCCACCCTTACCCTGGTGCAGCCTCACACCGTATCTGCAAAGGCACGCACCAACAGGACTGTTGCAGTAAGAGTGGCAGGAGGCGCCATCCACAAGCTACCCACAGCTCGGTTGCAGTTAAATTGGGGCACCGGAGCCAAACAGATGGAAGTAGGCATTATGTCCGGCCTACCTGAGGAAGTATTGTTGGAGAACGATTTGGGGTGCTTAACTTCACAGCTGATTATCCCAGATCCTGCCGGAACCTGCCCCGTGACTACCAGGGAGCAAGCCTGCCGAGCTAGACCGACATACTCCGAGGAACCACAGGTAGGAACCGAAAACCCCGTAGTATCCCCTAACCCTATCCCCTTCTGTGGCACCCCCAAGACTTTGTCCAAGCCCAGCAGACAGATCCCACGTTAGCAGGTTACAGGATCTTTTCCCGAGTAGGATTCCCCCGGGAAATACTTTCAGAACAAGGAACGCAGTTCACGGCAACTGTAACTCAACAATTGTGGCAGAGCTGCGGGGTGAAACCGTTATTTAGCTCCCCCTACCATCCCCAGACCAACGGCCTCTGTGAACGCTTCAACGGCACGCTTAAGCAGATGCGCACAGTGTTCACAGAGTCATACGATAAATTTCTACCCCACCTCCTGTTTGCCTCCCAGGAAGTGCCCCAGGCGTCCACCGGGTTCTTCCCCTTCGAACGCCTATATGGGAGAAAATCCGGGGACCCCTGGACCCAATACGAGAGCACTGGAAGGGCAACACAGGAGAGGAAGGGATCCCAGTCTTGCCATACGTGATGGAGTTCTGGGACCGCCTGCAGGCACTGACCGAATTAGTTCGGGAGAACCTACAGGCGGCCCAGAAACGACAGAAACAATGGTATGACCGGGGGGCACGAGATAGGAACCTGGAAGTGGGGCAAAAAGTATTAGCCCTCAGACCTTCCAAAAAGGACAAGCTACAGGCAGCTTGGCAGGGGATATTTAAAGTGGTGGAACAGATTAGTGACACTACCTATACTGAAGCCAAATGTTCAGATGAAAGGATCAGACGAGCCATATTATGTGAACATGTTGAAACCGTATTTCGAGCACCCGAGGACCTGGCCGCTATCTGTGCCCCGTCCACTGATGATAGAGAAGGACTCCCCTTGCCCTATCTACTGGAAGCTAACCAAGGTACCTTAGAGCAGGTCGGGTTAGGGGAGAAACTAGACACCACACAGCAGGCAGACGCAAAACAACTGCTCCAGGAATACGGTGGGCAATTTTCGGTCCTACTCGGGTACACCTCCGCCGCAGTGCACCGGGTAGAGATGCAGGGATAAACCCCATTACGGCAACAACCGTACCGTATCCCGGCAGCAGTGCGGACCAGCATGTGGAAAGAAATCCAAAAAATGTTGGAATTAGGAGTTATTGAGGCTTCCCAAAGTCACTGGGCGTCCCCGGTGGTTTTAGTACCAAAGCAAGACGGTACGACTCGCTTCTGTTTGGATTGCCGGAAACTGAACGACCAGACTATCACGGACGCATACTCCATGCCACGGATCGACGAATTGCTCGATCGCATGGCCAGCGGGCACTTCCTAACAACCCTGGACCTGTGCAAAGGATATTGGCAAATCCCGCTAGACTCGGCCGCCATCCCTAAATCAGCATTCGTCACCCTATTCGGGCTATACCAATTTCGGGTTATGCCCTTTGGGATGAAGAATGCCCCAGCTACATTTCAACGGATGGCGGACCGACTTCTGGAGGGAATGCAGGACTTCGCATGTGCCTACCTAGATGATATTGCTATCTATAGCTGCACATGGGAGGCTCACCTGACGCACTTTGCTACAGTATTTGGGAGGTTACAAGAAGCTGGCCTCACCCTAAAACCCAAGAAATGCCATGTGGGTATGGCAGAGGTTCAATACCTAGGGCATAGAGTAGGGTCTGGGAAACAGCGCCCCGAACCAGCCAAAGTAGAGGCCTTAGCCAATTGGCCCCAGCCCCGCACCAAGATACAGGTATTGGCCTTCCTAGGCACAGCAGGGTATTATATAAAGTTCGTCCCTGAGTATAGCACCCTAGCAAAACCCCTCACCGACCTGACCAAAAAGTCCCTACCCAAGCAGGTAGCATGGTCTCCGGAGTGTGCAACGGCGTTCCAGAGACTTAAAACGGCCTTGAGCAAAGCTCCAGTATTGGCGGCACCAGACCATAAAACATTTCTCGTTCATACAAATGCCTCCATGTTTGGGCTGGGAGCCGTGCTGAGCCAAGTGGGGGAAGATGGCATGGAGCACCCTGTGGCATATATCAGCCATAAGTTATTAACACGGGAAGTCAGCTATGCCACCGTGGAAAAAGAGTGCCTAGCTCTAGTATGGGCCCTAAAGAAACTCCAAACGTACCTTTATGGCCGTGCCTTTACCCTACTCACTGACCACAACCCCCTGATTTGGCTCAACCGAGTCTCTGGAGACAATCCCCGGTTGCTGCGCTGGAGCCTAGCGTTGCAGCCCTACAATTTTACACTACAATACCACCCGGGCAAGCAGAACGGCAATGCGGATGGTCTTTCCCGCCAAACCGACTTGGATGTATAATTATGTTACCCGGACATCCCCTAGCCAACCCGGCAGGGTCTAGGCGGGTATGCCGACCCATGGAACTAAGGGGGAGTATTGTGAAGAAAATAGACTGTGTTCGGTATTTTCTCCTATGTTCGGGATTTTCTGCAGTATTTTGTGCATGTTGGATCTGTTAGTTCGGTAGTTTAAAACTACCGAACCCCGACCACCCTCCAACTTCAAAAGAACCATCTATTAAGCGCTCTCTGTGCGGCCGCTGTTTGTATAGCCGAATGCCACGTGGAACAGAAAACGGCGGCCATCTTGTTTGCACGAAAGGAGGCAGCGGGACTTGGTCGTCGAGTGTCTGGAACTAAAATCGGACACAACCTCCCGAACCACCGCTGAAACTACCGAACGCCTGCTTCCTTTAGTTGCCGAACAGCCAGGAGAGCGCCATTCAGTAGTTCGGTTCATAGGAACAAGGGGAGCACTACACTATTCCTCTACCTCCTAACTGCAGTTATAATCACTTATGCTCAGCTATAGGGAAAGGAATAGAAGACTGCAGTACCATAACCACTGCAGGTCTTAACAGCGTTCATATGAAATCACTGGTGTTCGCGAGGTCGAGTGTCCGACTTATAGTTCAAGACATTCAAAGACCAAGTGCCGCTGCCTGCGATCGTGCCACAAGTTGGCCGCCGTTTTCTCCAGCACCTGTTGCCACACAGGGAGAGCACTTAAGTCTGGTTAGTATTTAGTTAATGAGCCAGGGGGGTGGTCAGTGTTCTGTAGATTACAGCTCCGGAACTGGGGAAACGTGAGTGGGGTTCGGGGAACATAGCAGGGAAATGTCTTAAACACAGGGAAAATAGTGAGTTTGTCACAATCCCTTTAAGCTAAAGTTGTTTTGGTGACTATAGTGTCCCTTTAGCTTTAAGGATAATGGTGAGCAAGGGGGCTACTTGAGCTTATTGAAGTCTAGAGAAGACATTTTACCACAAATCCCAGTATGCTGAGCTGAATACAGAATACATTATAATATTTGACTATCTAGAGCTGTATGATTGAATACGATCACATTTAAAGACTTAAATGAATTGGAATGGCAAGGATCCAGTCTGTGCACACAGTATAAACTGCCCCAATAAATAATTAGAATAATAAGTAAATAATACAATATTAGTTCTATGTCGGGATCACAACTATTCTCTCTAAATATTCATATTATTTTCAGTAACGTGTGATCTTTAGTGCGTTTTTAAATAAGTGGCCAGCGTAGGGAAACTGTGATGTCATCCACCAATATTATCTACTAGCGGCTAGTGATAAAACAATGATAAGTTATAGATCATCGTCATTGAGCCAATTCCTGTAAATCTGTCTGTAAATGGGATTCTTGCCGTCCAACAGATTAATCTCGCTCTGCGCAGGTATCCAGTTCCTTCTGAGCAGAGTGCTGGGATCTGATATTCTTACTGTGAAATGTTTGTCATATTTATTGAATAATAGGTTCTGACTATCATTTGTTTAACAGAATGTGTACTTTCAGCAAATTGTATTAAAACGAAGATCTATAACAGACTACACGTTACTCACACAAAATGCTGAGCTGTTCTCTGTGTCCAGGTGAAAATTATATTCTACAGATATTCTGCTTTTATCGAAACCTTTATTCTTTACCTAGAGATAAATTGGGCATAATGAACGTGGCACTGTACCTATATCCCCAATGAGCTAGGAGTTAGACGTGGCACTGTACTGCTTGTATAATATGTATTTTCCCATTGCGATACTGGAATCGAGTAATGCCTATTTTCCTATTGAAGGACTGGAATCGAGTAATGCCTATTTTCCCATCGAGGGACTGGAATCGAGTAATGCCTATTTTCCCATCGAGGGACTGGAATCGAGTAATGCCTATTTTCCCACTGAGATACTGGAATCGAGTAATGCCTATTTTCCCATTGAGATACTGGAATCGAGTAATGCCTATTTTCCTATTGAAGGACTGGAATCGAGTAATGCCTATTTTCCCATTGAAATGCTGGAATCGAGTAATGCCTATTTTCCCATTGCGATACTGGAATCGAGTAATGCCTATTTTCCTTTTGAAGGACTGGAATCGAGTAATGCCTATTTTCCCATTGAGATGCTGGAATCGAGTAATGCCTATTTTCCTATTGAAGTACTGGAATCGAGTAATGCCTATTTTCCCATCGAGGGACTGGAATCGAGTAATGCCTATTTTCCCATCGAGGGACTGGAATCGAGTAATGCCTATTTTCCCATTGCGATACTGGAATCGAGTAATGCCTATTTTCCTTTTGAAGGACTGGAATCGAGTATTGCCTATTTTCCCATTGAGATGCTGGAATCGAGTAATGCCTATTTTCCTATTGAAGTACTGGAATCGAGTAATGCCTATTTTCCCATCGAGGGACTGGAATCGAGTAATGCCTATTTTCCCATCGAGGGACTGGAATCAAGTAATGCCTATTTTCCCATTGAGATACTGGAATCGAGTAATAGAAAGTAGAAAAGGTAAAAGCGCACACAAAAAAATAAGGAGGTCTTTACCTGACGTGTTATAAATAACTGGTAAGAAGTAACTCCTCCTTATATACAGTAGGTATATACAATGTAGGTTTGCCTATACAGAAGATACAAACACAGAACAAAACATAGTGTGGTCTGTATATAAAACACAAACAAGGAAATTATGAGCTAAAATTACTCACACTTTGCTGAGCCGTTTAAAGTAGGCTCGGGACTTATGTGGCTTTATATGTAACTTAAGTGGGACATGCACATTCCTTTACTCTTCAGGCGAGTCCTTCAATGATCTGAATAATCATCTGTTGAGAAGTTGGAGTCAGGAGCCAGGAGTATCAGGATATATAAAAAAGGATATTTATTTATATAAAAACAAATATAAAATAAAAGTATTGCACAATGCGTTTCAACCATCAGGTGGTCTTCCTCAGGTGCTGTTCAAAGCTACAATGAGCTTGCTGCTGCATATATAGGGCATGGCATGAGGTAATAATTACAAATATTTACTACACATGTAGCACTAATTGAGGTACAATTGCCTTATATGGTCCGAACCGGATGTGTTCTGCCACCTCCAATATGGCTCCACATCCGGTTCGGAAACATACACTGTGAATACAATACATGTAAAAAGAATTCACAAAATATCACAGAAACAAATAAAAGATATCAATATTTATCCCCCAGCATAGTCAACCACCACGATATAAGCAAAGCGTGGGTGACTTGATGTTTGGGGATATTGTATATTATGTCCGGTAAGTCCGTCGCGTCACTTCCGGTGACGCGCATATTGATAAAAACAAACCCAAATTTATATTTAGGGGTGCTAAAAATTTTAAACAAATGTTGACATCTAGTTTTATTAAAACAGAGGTCCCTAGGAATTTTTTAAGCAACTGGACATCAGAACAAAAGGGCTTTTTTTATTGTGGATCTTGTCAGGCTTGTTGTAACACTTTAAGGACTAATAAGAAAGTGGAAAATTTGTATTCCTCAGTTACTAAGAGGGAGTATCATATTAAATCTTTAATCACATGTCACTCCACCTATGTCATCTATCTTTTACAATGTAGCTGTGGATACCAATACGTGGGAAAAACTTCACGTCAGCTTAAGATTAGAATTAATGAACATCTTAGAAACATCAAAAAAGGTTTTCCGAATCAGTGTGTGTCAAGACATTTTTTACAACACCATGATTCGGACCTTAGGTCTTTAAGTTTCTTTGCTATTGAAAAAGTAACTAGAAATTGGAGAGGGGGAGATATATCTAGAGCTCTTGGTTTGAAAGAATCTAAGTGGATTTTCGAATTACGCACTTTAATTCCAAGAGGTCTTAATATAGATTTTGAAATTAATAAACTATTATAAGCTTTTTTTGGTGGATGGAAATATGAGTTTTTCCCCCTGTTCTGGTTGCATTTTTCTCTCTACCTCAAATGTCTCTTTTTTATCTTTATCTCCCTTCTGCTTTCCATTTCTTATTATTGAAAGGCTATTTGCTGAACAACTAGGTCTCTTTTGGTTTTTTTTAAATTTTTTTATATTTCTAAGAGCACTTTATACATTTCTTGCACTTTATTGAGACATTACAGTGTTCATATATTACTTTGAAATTGCTTTTACCATGTTCTATATGTTAATAATATATGCCCTATGAAATGATTAACACCAATGTTTTCTTTTTTATATATAATATATCTGTATTTGGCATATATGTATTTATGAGGAGGATATGGACAGATTGCCCACTTTAAAGATGGCTACTTTAGCCCTACAGTGCATCAACATCGTTCTAAGTGTGGAAACCGAGAAGGGACATCATCGATCCTCTTTTCAGCGAAACCGGAAGTGACGCGACGGACTGATTTTATCAATATGCGCGTCACCAGAAGTGACGCGACAGACTTACCGGACATAATATACAATATCCCCAAACATCAAGTCACCCACGTTTTGTTTATATCGTGGTGGTTGACTATGCTGGGGGATAAATATTGATATCTTTTATTTGTTTCTGTGATATTTTGTGAATTATTTTTACATGTATTGTATTCACAGTGTATGTTTCCGAACCGGATGTGGAGCCATATTGGAGGTGGCAGAACACATCCGGTTTGGACCATATAAGGCAATTGTACCTCAATTAGTGCTACGTGTGTAGTAAATATTTGTAATTATTACCTCATGCCATGCCGTATATATGCAGCAGCAAGCTCATTGTAGCTTTGAACAGCACCTGAGGAAGACCACCTGATGGTTGAAACGCGTTGTGCAATACTTTTATTTTATATTTGTTTTTATATAAATAAATATCCTTTTTTATATATCCTGATACTCCTGGCTCCTGACTCCAACTTCTCAACAGATGATTATTCAGATCATTGAAGGACTCGCCTGAAGAGTAAAGGAATGCATGTCCCACTTAAGTGACATATAAAGCCACATAAGTCCCGAGCCTACTTTAAATGGCTCAGCAAAGTGTGAGTGTTTTTAGCTCATAATTTCCTTGTTTGTGTTTTATATACAGACCACACTATGTTTTGTTCTGTGTTTGTATCTCCTGTATAGGCAAACCTACATTGTATATACCTACTGTATATAAGGAGGAGTTACTTCTTACCAGTTATTTATAACACGTCAGGTAAAGACCTCCTTATTTTTTTGTGTGCGCTTTTACCTTTTCTACTTTCTATTGTATTCTTTCTAAGTATATATAGTGGTGATATACTTGGGTATAGCAGCACCATTCATCCACTTTATCCTCTAGCAACATTTTCTATATTTTTTGTTATTTGGAATCGAGTAATGCCTATTTTCCCATCGAGATGCTGGAATTGAGTAATGCCTATTTTCCTATTGAAGGACTGGAATCGAGTAATGCCTATTTTCCCATCGAGGGACTGGAATCAAGTAATGCCTATTTTCCCATCGAGGGACTGGAATCAAGTAATGCCTATTTTCCCATCAAGGGACTGGAATCGAGTAATGCCTATTTTCCCATCGAGGAACTGGAATCGAGTAATGCCTATTTTCCCATCGAGGAACTGGAATCGAGCAATAACTGTTTTCCCATCAAGGGACTGGAATCAAGTAATGCCTATTTTCCCATCGAGGAACTGGAATCGAGCAATAACTGTTTTCCCATCAAGGGACTGGAACAGAGTAATGCCTATTTTCCCATTGAGGGACTGGAATTGAATAATGCCTATTTTCCCATTGAGGTACTGGGAAGTGGCCTATTTTCCCATTGAGGTACTGGGAAGTGGCCTATTTTCCCATTGAGGTACTGGGAAGTGGCCTATTTTCCCATTGAGGGACAGGAATCAAGCTAGATGTAGACCTGCTACTGTACTGCTGGTATAATGACTCTTTTCCCATCAGAGTTTAGAACCGGCACAAACCTGAATCTGTGCTAATATATTGTCTCTTTCTATTTCCATTGCATGTAATAGTAGATTGCTCTAAATCTTAAAAAAGGTTAGAACACTAAACGAGAAAAGGTGAAAGGTTAATTCCTATTTGCAGTTTCATTTTGAATAATTTAAGTCCCTTGCTGCATTACAGAGGGACCCATCACTATATTAGATGTCCCACCAGGGCAGCCAAACAAAATAACATGCAGGCCCTCTCCAGCCCCTGAAAATCCAGGGACGGATTGATCCAAGCAGAGTTATAAGGTGGAGAAATGTATTTATTACGCAGGCAGTTAATCAGTCCCGTATCCAGAGCATTATCTGCTAAATAAGATTTATTAACTTCTAAGTCTTAATTGGACTAGTGTGTGAGTTCACCCTGACACATTATTATATTACCATCCCAAGCCACCTCCCGCTGATCGGCTGATGAGAGATATATGGCTGGAAACCTGGAGCATTGGGACAAATTTAGGAAAACCCTCCAGATGAAATGGTGAGACTCTGAGTAATTGGTGTGAAGGTCAGGAGAATCTTTTCATGGGTTTCTGCAGAAAAACAAAACAAAAAAAATGACTTTTCTTTAAGTATCTTAGTCTACACTTTTTTTATAGTGTTATCAGGTCAGGCTAACCATAGACCACAGAGGGAAAGGGGTTACATTGCTTACTAAAGAGCTATCTTCTCAAAGATTCAGTGGAGGAATTCAGAAAGCAAAGCCCAGTCTATTGATGGTCAAACAGGCATTAAACCTGCAGTACAGTACCAGGTCCACAAGATTCTCGATTCCATTCCTGTGATAAGTAATATTGGAAATTCATCAATTCACCCTGTTACGGACCGTTTTGCCCAAAAGAGGTTAAAACCCTGTTAGGCGATATTCCCCTTTTTCAGCTGCACCAACAGCTACTGCAAGCACCAATCTCTCGAACTGCAAACCCACGAATTCACCAACTCCCGAACTGCAACCAAGGGAATACTCGAAACTCCCGAACTGGAGACACACGAATAGCTGCTAGCAGACGAACAGGAAAAGCCCCCAAGCAGCTTACACTCCTGGCAATCAGTCTCTAACAGCATACAGTAAATCCTCCCCCCAATAATGAGACGACACTTCACTTTGAGGGTTAAGCAGGAACTGATTTACTGGGGCTAACTGCCCGGCTTTTATGCAGGTCTCCCACCTGGTGGACACTCCCACTCCTGGCAATCAGCATACAATCCAATTCCCCCAATAACGAGACGACACTTCATTTTGAGGTCAAGCAGAACCTGACTGTACTGGCACATACAGCCTCTTTTATTCCCAATCCACAAACTTAGTACTACCCACAGGGTTTTACAGAACAACCAATCAATCTGTACAATACACACAGACACTCCCACACAAAATCCTCCCCTCTGCCTGCGATATGATTACTGAACACAATGGTTAATCTAATTATCACAGGCAGAGAAATACAGTATTATAAAACATATCACAGGGACCCCAAAACATGCAATAACCCCATAAAGTATATCCTTGGAACCGGGGGATCTGGGTGAACCACATATCCAAAATTCACCCAGATCCGTTCAGTACTTTGGAAAATACAGTTTAATGCAGATTCTGCAGAACATATAGAGGCTAAATGAAAAACAATCACTGTATAATGTGTCCCCTGCCGTATAGTCCAAAACCACTGCATGATGTCTCTGTGCACCAAATACTGGCGAGATGGCACCGTGTTGAAAAGTCCAAACAGTGTCTGAGTTAAAATGGCCGCCATCCATTGTTCTCACCATGTGCTTCATCCATTGTTCTCACCATGTGCCTCTGATACATGAAATGGTGGCCACCCAGTAACTCCACAGTATGTCCCCAGATGGTTCTTGAAGGGCCAGCAGCAGCACAACACAAATCCATTATGCCCAAATCATGTCTTCAAAGGGCAATACATCCCAGGGGCCATAGTCACATGGCAGGAGGCTGGCAATCAGTCTTCTCCAATGCCCAGTGGCGAGGTCGGTTTCACCACATTTCTCCCCTTTACCATCCAGACTAACAGGGTATCTGACCTCCTCTCGGTCAGTGCCCTGGTTAGTCCAGCAACCCACCCACAGAACACAATCAGCAGTACAGCCCACCCACAATAAAGAGTTACTACACCTGGGGTAGTGGGTCGCTTGTCCCTGTCCAGGAGCTCCACCTCGGCTCTGGGGTTTACTGGCGCTCCGGATCGGTGGGTTACTGAGTAGGCAGAGACCAGCGGTACTCTGCCCTGCTGCCAGCGCTATCCTGTGAGTAGCCTGGTTGGAGCCCAGTCGAGGGAATGGCGTAGTAAGCTCCTCACTCTGGACCCGGTACTGCTGCTGGAGGGCACGACAGGCTGTCTCCCCTTTGGATGAACATCCCTGCTGCCGGGGGACAGGACCGACCATCCCTAGCCCCTGTGAGGCATGTGCAGAGACCACGGTCCCATCTGCATGGGTGTGGGGCTTATCATCTCCCCTTGGTGGGCTAGGCTGCCGCTGGGGAGAGGGGGTAACAAGTTCATCTCCCTTACCCACTTTTTGTCGCTGGGGAGAGGGAATGACAAGCTCCTCTCCATGACTCACTCTCTGCTGGTGGAGGGGGAAACCGACTGTCTCCCCTTTCAATATATTGTCCTGCTGCTGGGGGCAGAGACCGACTGCCTCATCTGCCCCATCTGGGAGGATAGTGTAGCGGACCGGCAATATTAAATCCCACGAATTCTGCTGGTACATACAGTAATCCACAGTCAGCACTGAAAAGCAAGGCAATCTCCCAAATCTCCCAGTAACCGGACGAAACACAGTTCTGAGAGTCAACTGAGGTCTTTATTTTCAGCTCCACAATTTATACAATTCCCCATGCAAGGGGTTTCCTGAGTCCCATCCCAGGGGCATTCCCAGAGTGGACTACATGGGGAACTTACTGTACAGGGCATTTCTCCCATCAGGCACTGCTGCACGAGAGGGATCCTCCCACAGGAATGTACCGTTAAGTGGATTATCCCTCCGTGCAGCAGAACCGACAATTTATATTAAAATACATAACTTTTCGAATATGCGGTCTATTTGCACAAATGGACGTTCGGTAGATAGCTGGGATCTGAGCGCATCTTTCGTGAGATTACCGCTCAGATCCTAGCTAAAACAACCGAACGCTGCACTAAAAAACACATTCATTAAAATACACGTTCAAAAGACCGATTGAATTCTAGGGAACAAAATACCGAACGGCCCGGAACTCCCAAACGGCCTGGAAGCTCAGCGGTGTTCGCGCCGTCGAGTAGCCATTTTTAGTACCATGCGCTCGACGACCAAACACCGCTGTGGGAACAAAGGATCCAAGATGGCCGACCGCCGCATGGTCGGTAGTCGAACGGCGGCCACCTAGGAGAGCCTCTAATTACCGATTGCAACATTGTTGCAATCGGTTAACAAGCGCCACATGCCTCTAAATGTGTGGTCTATTACATGGTGGTTTTTCAGTTCACGAATGGCCCGCAAAGGTGCCATTCGTGAAACGAAATACAATACAGCTATTTGCGTTCGGCTGATAGCCAATACAGGACATACAGGGTATTACAACCAGCATATTCTATACATAGTTAAACACATATCCCACAACCATACAGGCAACCTTTAAAGGCACAGTCTCTTGATATTGTCCAAGTGGCTAGGTTTGCCACAGATAGGGTCTCCCCTTTGTGACATAAGCTGCCGCTGGGAAGAGGTGGTCACCGACTCCTCTCCCTGGAATCCTTTCAGTCTCTGGGGAGAGGGGGTAGCAGGTTCCTCTCCCTGACCCTCTGTCTGCTGGTGGAGGGGGGGCCGACTGTCTCCCCTTTCAATATTTTGTCCTGCTGCTGGGGTGCGAGACCGACTGTCTCTGCTCCTGGCAGGACACTCTGCCGCTGGGTAGGAAGGACGGCACCTTCATCGGCTCCCTGTGACACACACTGCCGCTGGGGAGGAAGGACGGCACCTTCCGCTCCCTGTAATACACACTGCCGCTGGGGAGGAAGGACGGCACCTTCATCAGCTCCCTGTGACACACACTGCTGCTGGGGAGGAAGGACGGCACCTTCAGCTCCCTGGGACACACACTGCCGCTGGGGAGGAAGGACGGCACCTTCAGCTCCCTGGGACACACACTGCCGCTGGGGAGCAAGGACGACACCTTCAGCTCCCTGGGACACACACTGCCGCTGGGGAGGAAGGATGACTCCTTCATCTCCCTGGGACACACACTGCCGCTGGGGAGGAAGGACGGCACCTTCGGCTCCCTGTAACTCTCTGCCGCTGGGGTCTCTGCCAACTTACGTGCCCGCCCTGCTCCGACCTGCAGGTACTCTTCTACATGTCTCCTCACAAGCTGCACACATCTCTCTGGGGGGTTGGGTCCAAAGAAAGCCATCCGCGTGATAAACTCTCTGTCAAACTGTTCCTGAGTGTAGCTGGGTGCCATGCTTGCCCTGCTGCCCTCCATTTGTAAGTCCAGGGGATGGTGTTACCTTGTAGCTGTCCTTCTGGGCTGTGGGACTGATCCCACCGCTGCCACCAATTGTTACTGACCGTTTGGCCCAAAAGATGTTAAAAACCGTTTAGGCGATATTCCCCTTTTTCAGCTGCACTGACAGCTACTGCAAGCACCAATCTCCTGAACTGCAAACCCACGAATTCACCAACTCCCGAACTGCAACCAAGGGAAACCTGAAACTCCCGAACTGCATACCAAGGGAATACTCGAAACTCCCGAACTGGAGACACACGAATAGCTGCTAGCAGATGAACAGGAAAAGCCCCCAAGCGGCTTACACTCATGGCAATCAGTCTCTAACAGCATAGAGTAAATCCTCCCCCAATAATGAGACGACACTTCACTTTGAGGGTTAAGCAGGAACTGATTTACTGGGGCTAACTGCCCGGCTTTTATGCAGGTCTCCAACCTGGTGGACACTCCCACTCCTGGCAATCAGCATACAATCCAATTCCCCCAATAACGAGACGACACTTCGTTTTGAGGTCAAGCAGAACCTGACTGTACTGGCACATACAGCCTCTTTTATTCCCAATCCACAAACTTAGTACTGCCCACAGGGTTTTACAGAACAACCAATCCATCTGTACAATACACACAGACACTCCCACACAAAATCCTCCCCTCTGCCTGTAATACAATTACCTTACACAATGGGTAATCTAATTATCACAGACAGAGAAATACAGTTTCATAAAACACATCACAGGGACCCCAAAACATGCAATGACCCCATAAAATATATCCTTGGAACCAGGGGATCTGGGTGAACCACATATCCAAAATTCACCCAGATCCGTTCAGTACTTTGGAAGATACAGTTTAATGCAGATTCCGCAGAACATATACAGGCTAAATGAAAAACAATCACTGTATAATGTGTCCCTTGCTGTATAGTCCAAAACCACTGCACAATGTCTCTGTGCACCAAATACTGGCGAGATGGCACCGTGTTGAAAAGTCCAAACAGTGTCTGTGAGTTAAAATGGCCACCATCCATTGTTCTCACCATGTGCTTCATCCATTGTTCTCGGATACTGTGACACACACACCATGATTAGAACACCTCGGATACTGTGACACACACCATGATTAGAACACCTTGGATACTGTGCCACACACATCTTGATTAGAATACCTCGGATACTGTGACACACACCATGATTAGAACACCTCGGATACTGTGACACACACCATGATTAGAACACCTCGGATACTGTGACACACACCATGATTAGAACACCTCGGATACTGTGACACACACCATGATTAGAACTCCTTGGATACTGTGCCATGCGCCATGATTAGAACACCTCGGATACTGTGACACACACCATGATTAGAACACCTTGGATACTGTGCCACACAACATGATTAGAACACCTTGGATACTGTGCCATGCGCCATGATTAGAACACCTCGGATACTGTGACACACACCATGATTAGAACACCTTGGATACTGTGCCACACAACATGATTAGAACACCTCGGATACTGTGACACACACCATGATTAGAACACCTCGGATACTGTGACACACGCCATGATTAGAACACCTCGGATACTGTGACACACACCATGATTAGAACACCTTGGATACTGTGCCACACAACATGATTAGAACACCTCGGATACTGTGACACACACCATGATTAGAACACCTTGGATACTGTGCCATGCGCCATGATTAGAATACCACGGATACTGTGACACACACCATGATTAGAATACCTCGGATACTGTGACACACACCATGATTAGAACACCTCGGATACTGTGACACACACCATGATTAGAATACCTCGGATACTGTGACACACACCATGATTAGAACACCTCGGATACTGTGACACACACCATGATTAGAACACCTTAGATACTGTGCCATGCGCCATGATTAGAACACCTTGGATACTGTGACACACACCATGATTAGAACACCTCGGATACTGTGACACACACCATGATTAGAACACCTCGGATACTGTGCCACACAACATGATTAGAACACCTCGGATACTGTGACACACACCATGATTAGAACACCTTGGATACTGTGCCATGCGCCATGATTAGAACACCTCGGATACTGTGACACACACCATGATTAGAACACCTTGGATACTGTGCCACACAACATGATTAGAACACCTCGGATACTGTGACACACACCATGATTAGAACACCTTGGATACTGTGCCATGCGCCATGATTAGAATACCACGGATACTGTGACACACACCATGATTAGAATACCTCGGATACTGTGACACACACCATGATTAGAACACCTCGGATACTGTGACACACACCATGATTAGAACACCTCAGATACTGTGACACACACCATGATTAGAACACCTCGGATACTGTGACATGCGCCATGATTAGAACACCTTGGATACTGTGACATGCGCCATGATTAGAACACCTCGGATACTGTGACACACACACCATGATTAGAACACCTTGGATACTGTGACATGCGCCATGATTAGAACACCTCGGATACTGTGACACACACCATGATTAGAACACCTCGGATACTGTGACACACACCATGATTAGAACACCGGATACCGTGACACACACCATGACAGGAACACCGATACCAGCACACACACCATGATTAGGAAACCACCTTGGATACTGCCATACCATGATTAGAACATCTTCGGATACCAGACACACACCCATGATTAGAACACCTTGATACAACATGACAGGAACACCCCGGATGTCAGACACCATGATTAGAACACCTTGGATACTGTGCCATGCGCCATGATTAGAATACCTCGGATACTGTGACACACACCATGATTAGAATACCTCGGATACTGTGACACACACCATGATTAGAACACCTCGGATACTGTGACACACACCATGATTAGAATACCTCGGATACTGTGACACACACCATGATTAGAACACCTCGGATACTGTGACACACACCATGATTAGAACACCTTAGATACTGTGCCATGCGCCATGATTAGAACACCTTGGATACTGTGACACACACCATGATTAGAACACCTCGGATACTGTGACACACACCATGATTAGAACACCTTGGATACTGTGCCACACAACATGATTAGAACACCTCGGATACTGTGACACACACCATGATTAGAACACCTTGGATACTGTGACATGCGCCATGATTAGAACACCTCGGATACTGTGACACACACCATGATTAGAACACCTTGGATACTGTGCCACACAACATGATTAGAACACCTCGGATACTGTGACACACACCATGATTAGAACACCTTGGATACTGTGCCATGCGCCATGATTAGAATACCACGGATACTGTGACACACACCATGATTAGAATACCTCGGATACTGTGACACACACCATGATTAGAACACCTCGGATACTGTGACACACACCATGATTAGAACACCTC